CACATTTACTTATTTACACATTTAGACTAAAAGAAATATCACGTGTTTCCTCGAAGGTTCTGGCATAAAACAAATGCTGAAATACCATTCTCCATCTTAAATCCTCATCAAATTGGCGGGGCATTCTAAGTTTAAAGTTCAGGCTGACGCACACGAGGCAAAGAATACACAATGAAACACGTGATATAACTTTTAGTCTAAATGTCTAAATGTGTAAATGTCTTTTTTCGGTGGACAACGTTAATGACATTGACTGTATATATTATCTATGATTTGTAAAGTATTAACAATATATTATGAAATAAATAATTAACTGTATCTTTCTCGCAGCCGTCCATGTCTCCTGACAGGCAACTATTGGTGCCACCATTCAGTGATTCGGACATGACTGCAAATGAAAGCGATACTGAACAAGAGAAACAACGCAATGAGCCTCCCCGTGACTACTATCGACAACCGTTAAAAGGTTGGACGTCTTAATAATACAATATTATACAGTCTACAAACATCTGTTTGTTTTTTCATACATTTTCATAGACTTTGTTGGTCTAAATTATTACTGATTTATGATTGCATTACTTAGGAGCAAAGAGTTTCCCGTTATCTGTAACAGCTAATGGAGATCTAAGACCTTCAGTGCCATTAGAAACAAGAGAACGTAGCAAAAGTGAGATTTTACCAAGAACTCCTTCACAAGGTTCGGATCATCTACAGCCTGCAGAACTTGATAGAAATAAATCAAGTAGTTCTCAAGGTCTAGTGGGCCAAGTATTGAGCAGTGAGGGACTCCCCATTGACGACGGAGATACAATAGTGCGTGTAGTTGAGCAAGAAATTGCTGATGCTTTTGACATTTCGACTGATCAATTAAACGATGCCGCCGAGAGACTACTTTCAGAACTCCAAACCACGTTAGGGGATGAGGAAGATGGACAACATGAAACAGAAACTCCTGTTGTTAAAACTGACGAGGAGTCTGATAGCGAAAGCCCATCGAGCTTTTGGAGAGAGGGACTTAAAGGGATCCCAGATACTTGTATTGTGATAACTGACCTTTAGTCAGAGAACAGAAGATCTGGTGTTATTAGTGGTGCGACTGGCTACGGCCATGGTCTATAAGTACAGAGCATCGCTTATTGGTTGCTGTACTTCAAGATACTTCACAATATTTGTTATTGGAAGATCTGGTGTTATTAGTAGTGCGACTGGCAACGGCCATGGTCTATAAGTACAGAGCATCGCTTATTGGTTGCTGTACTTCAAGATACTTCACAATATTAGTTATTGCAAGATCCGGTGTTATTAGTAGACTGGCTACGACCATGGTCTATATGTACAGAGCATCGCTTATTGGTGCTTTACTTCAAGCATGTATTTATTTATCTTGGTTGATTGCGATGGCATGGCTTTCTGTGTTGGCCACGAAAGGCAACTTTGTACGTGGTTTTTCTCACGGAGAACCATTTGTGGTCCATTTCTTGAGCGGATTCATTTTATATTCATCATGAAAGATGATTGGTAGATCAAACAAGATTTAAGACTTAGCAATAACTATTGCATATATGCACCATGGCACGAACAGGAACAAAGAACCTACTGTGTTATATTGGTATAGTGCGGTGCGACGAATCTTGAATAATTTATAATAATTGGTGCATACAACAGGAATGGAATCAGCCCAGTAGGGAGATCAATTAATTTAGCTTGGTATTGCAAGGTGCTATCGACCGGCTACAGAACGGTAGGATATGAAATATTTTACAGAGGGATTTGCTCTTCATATGATATATTTTATTAGATACAATTATTCATATATTTTAATTTCTTTAATATATCTATATCCCAATAGAGGCCTTGAACCGTAACGTGATGGCAGCTATGTTAAATGGCAGGAACATAGAACTTTTTCCCTTGGAAACTGAATTCTTTTTCTAGATTTAATAAACCGTTATCTTCGTATGCATCTTCTCTCCCTTGAGAATCGTTCTTTATGACGAACTTGTTAAAATATTTACACATTAAAGAATCAACTCCCAAGAGTGGCATCACATGGTCTGAAATGGTACAACGAAGCTAAAAAGGTCTTTTGTTCCTGCCTCCTGTCATGGCTGCCATCACATGATGGTACAAAGCCTCTACACTGGTATTATTTTATCGAGCTTTTATTTATAATCTTCTTATTGCTAATTTATTACATCGCTATTGTCATGCCAGGCCAGAGTGTTCACGAAGCATAAAGAGGTAGACATTGGTTAAAAAAAGGAAAATTACTATTTAGTTTCAATATCATGTCCACGATAATGGAAAAGGAGGTTTGGAATTGTAAGATATTTGGATAAATTATTAGGGCTAATATCTTTATGCTTCTTTTGCTATGATAACATGGATCTTATCATATTTAGTGTCAATATGTCCACTGTTCAACTAGCCCGCTAATGTCCTTATAAATTTTATGAAATTATTCAAAAACATATTCATTAATAGAATGAAATAATAATATTAGTTTCTCTTAATATAAGCTTTTTATCAGTTACGCCCGTTCCTGATAAGGAAACAAACTGGCGGCCATGTTGTATGACGTAACGAGATACATGGTCGACATGCAAGTGATTGAAAAACCCTTTCCAGAACTAGCTACACGCAGTTCTTTGTATAAATGCACAAACTATGCATGTCAAAAGGATAAATTTGTATAAAAATGTAGTCCGATTTATAGTTTTTTAGATCGTAGATTACGAATTGTAGTCCTGCCATATACATTGTAGACTTTGACAAAAGCAATATTTTGCATCAAAAATTTGAATTGTTTGAAATAAGTTAGACAAGTCCCACCGAAAGGACGTTCCAAAATTTTACTGATAACGAATTGTCAGATTTTTAATATAATTTTTATACAAAATCAAAATTTGTTGGCTTAAAATTCGAAAAAAAAACCAAAACACCAATTTCAATTTTATTAAGCAATAGAAATATAAACTGTAAATGATTTTTTGGTGACATGGACACGAGTGGAAAAACGTCTGCGCATGCTCTGAATCCGTATGCAAATTACTCAAAACATATGTAAATTTGACTTTGAAACATGCCTGATAAATTGGACTTCACAAAATACCAATACTTAGTGTCCATGCTTGAAACTTAAGGGTAATTCTTTCATATTGTGTTTGTTAATACAGTATCTTGGTCTTACAAAAGTATACTCTCGAACTTTTTCGTATACTTGGAGAAAACAAACATTTATTTTCTCACTCAAACTCTTCAAAATTCTTAGAAAACGTGCTGAAGTGCACGCATGCGCAAACGTTTTTCTCTAGTGTCGGTGACGTGCAGTTTGCCGATAACACAGGATTCCCATTTATTTTCATTTGCTCAAATTGTGCTGCTGCATTGTATCACATAGCTAATAAGATGAAATGCCATTTCTATCTATACTCTTGCAGAATAGTTGTCTTAACAAATGATTAGTAAATGCGATTTCAATTTTGATAAACAGACCATGATAGTCGACCAACAAATCTGTTTGCATATTTGAGTGCCGACATCACTTCCCAACAGAATAAATTCAGCAAAAACGTTCCGCCATATTGGCCATTCCGAGGTGGAGGAAAAAACTGGGTCGGGTTGGTATCGTAATGCATTGTGGGACTATTTGAGGGAAATAGACGCCATCTTGAAATTATGRCCCCTGAAACAGCCCCACAATGCAATGCAATGATAACTCGAACCATCTTTTCCCTCCAATAAGTCTGAAGCGAGATGACGTTTTAGCCCCGTCTCTAGACCATAATCCTTTTCACATTGCTTTTGTTCTTTAATTATGACTATTGTTCCTGTATTCTCTAAGGAATCAAAAAATTTAATATGAAAGAATTCTAAAAACTATTATGGTATAGAGTCGGGGGTAAAACGTCATCTCGCTTCAGGCTTATTGACAGTCGCGTCGCTTATCCAACACGGTGGCTACTGATAACTTAGTTTTTCTAGTCGTTAAGAACAGTTCAATAATTCTGCAAGTGAGTGTGAGTACTGTCCATACTGTGTGTGTGTAGTAGTGGCTGGCACCAGTTACTATACAATACAGTCTGTTGCTCTTATGTGGAATATCATCTGCGTAGTTTAGGACATTGAAAAACGACTTGTTCTTTGATGTAGTTCACTTATTTTCACTAAATCTAGTCACTAATAACCTAGATCGCTGAGGATTATGGGAAACATTTCATATCCATAAATGTAGCTTTTGATGCAAACTGCAGCTTGAGGATGCTTCGAAGAGGCGAGACTGTAACTGGTAAAAAGATCTCAAGTCCATGAATAGTAATAAGGCTGTCATTAAGATATGTAAAATGTATCTCTACCCGTAATCCTTGGCGGTCTCAGCTTCAATGAAGCTTTTTAGATGACTAACTTAATCGTATGTACACAACGCTTTTAAGCACGCTGTTACGTAATATATGATATCGCCTTTTACTATACTAATATTGGGACTTTATTGAATATATTGTTGGATAGACTTTTAATATTGAAATATTCTCTAATTGGCTTATAATTTATATTTAATAAATATATAATATAACTTATATATCAAATTTACTGCAAGGATTTTTGACACTGCTGTTACTGCCTCACGATGACTCTTGAGCTCAAACAACATTTCATTGATCAATATTATTTCTAATGTCCATTTTTTTTAGCTCGGTGAGACACGTGACTGGCGTCGGGATCAATACTAACACTATTAGAATGCTGTTTCACTGAGCAATTTTCCTAAAAACGTGTCTCGCAATTTTTGGTGCGTATGCCTTTTCTGAGTTTGATAAACAGGATGTGTTGTGGCGTGTAGCTTCGGTACAAACAACACCATATAAGGCATGATGGAAAAAAAGCGACTTCTCTCGCAACAAAATCACGACCAAAGTCGCAAGGAATATTGCCTGATGTAACAGCACGATTGTTTGAAACTTCGCCGGATGTAGAAGCAGGGGAATCTGTTATATAATATACTTATTTGATTTACTTCAGATATTACATTTGTACCAAAAAAGTGAAATATTGGACAATTTACAGGCAGGTGATTTTACTTCAAGGAAAGAGTGCGTGCAATGTTGAATTGTCTTGTTTTTTGAAACATTTCACGTGATCTTCCAGGAGATAGGTCATTCTTAGTATCACCTAGAATATAGCTTGAATGACTAGTGCTTCTTATATTATTATTATTATTGTCAAGAAAACGGAGGTCATTGTTGAGATATTTGTTAAGCGTCGTTCGTAGTCGACTAAAGCTTTTAAAACAACTCGATTGTAGACCCCTTGCATTGAATTCCTAGAGGAATCGTTCTGGGAGACAAAACAAGGTCTTTTTTTTTATGCCTTTTATAGGCCCTTTGCACTAAACGGTCACGTGTCTGTACTGTTGAGCAAATTTTTTTATTTTATTTTTTTATATTGATGATTCTTTTTAGCTACTTGTAAAGAACTGAATGAAACGATGTGTAACCAGTATTACGATCTCTCGAAACAGGTTGTAGAAAAGTTGTTTGCTCACCAGTATATTACACCCATGGGAATCAAGATGTTCATTCATTTGCTCTCAGTGAATTACTCAGCATGTGATTACTGAGCTGCAAAGGGCCTATTGCTCTCGGGACTCAGTCAAGGGGTCCATCTTGGAATGACCTATCGCTTATCTCCTTTGGCTCCGGCTACATTTATTTGAAATAGGTATATAATTATTCCAAAAAACGTTGGCAGAAGTTTTGTTACATGTTGCATACTAAGCTTGAAATACATTGTATTTGTATGTAAAGTATATTTGTCAGCGCAGAAAAAAAATATACCGGAAAAACGTGCAGATAAGTTTTATGGAAAGTTCAAATCGTTGTGACCTTTCGCTGTTGGTATTCACATCATCCCTAGTGCATGGAGCCTTTTTAAAATTAACTTGGATGTGAGGCTAACATGGTGATACGAAATAAATACCACAAATTCCATCGAGGAAAAGTATGATTTCTTTTGTATTTTCATGTTAGCCTAGCATTTAAGATAATTTTGGGAAAGGTTCGTTCTTCTCAAAATTAACTTAAATGTGTCTAACACGGAAAAAAAATTCACAAATTCCATCGCGAAAAAGTAATTGACCGTGCGCACCCAAATTTAAGAAACTTGACGGGCCACGATACCAGAACACGAGTATTACCATGTATTGCTATGAATTTTTTTACGATAAGGATTTATAAATTCGATCATTCTCCTCTTTAAATATAAAACCGTCTTCTCAATTTTACTGAATTTTCGTTTTTTTCAGTTTTGTGGCCCGTCAAGTTGGATGCGCACGCAACAATGAAAAAAAGGTCAATTTCTTTTGTGTTTCATGTTACTCCTCGCATTGAAGATAATTTTGAGAAGGGTGCATTCGGGCTTGTTATGCAGCATGCAACAAATCCTTTACCAATCGTTTTTCAAATAGCTGTATACGCAGTAGGCGGGAAATATGATGATCTTGCCCAATCACGTGACCTGGATGAGTTAGTATTTTTTTGTAGCTGGTTATTTATTCATCCTATGACTGATGGTTAATAGATTTTTTATTGTAGAGCATTTCCTACTCGGCTGTAAATACAAATTATTTTGTACCAGTCCTGCCTTAGAGGCTTTGTGGAAGACTGCTTGAATATAAAGTGAAAAGGTATATGGAAATAAAGCTATTTTCTACAAACTTCCTTTGAATGTCTCTTTATTTGTGTGGGTTTTTTTCATTCACTCTGAATAGAGGTTTCGTATCATCACGTGATGGCAGCCATGACAGGAGAAAGGAACGATGAAGTACTTCGTCGATGCAGCGGCAAGACCTTGTCATTCAGGGGACAGAACAAAATCAAAGATGCTGAAATGATGACCAATATTTGAGACATTTTCTCATTTGAGGAACTGCATCTCTTTTAGTCCATCTCTAGTCGAGTTGTCTTGTTGTGAACTGTTGTTGTCAATCGACGCCATTACTGTAACGAATTAGCTTTTTATATTTACCCCCTGGATGGCCCATAAAACCTTGCGATACAAGATGGCCGCCAGTTTCGAAGCCGCATCCATTGGTCGTAGATCGTATGAAGCAGGTTTTTTGTGGCTTCCTTGGAATTTCATGTTTATTATTAATCGTTATTTGAAATATTTCGTATATGAAATGCATAGGTTCCGTGCAACTGGCTCATAACTAGTATACAGTGTAAAGTCAATGTCTCTCCTTCGCAACACCGCCGACCAGCGCAGGCTATCATGTGAAATCTAATTTTTCCGGCTTTATTCACAACACTGTTCTATTATCCATTCCGAGGTTGAGTGAAAAAATTCAGTGGGCCGAGTTGGCAGTGCAGTGGGACTGTTTTAGGGAGCATTTCCAAGATTTTGACACATTTCGTTCCCTAAAACAGTCCCACAATAAACTGCAATGCGAACTCGTCCCAGTTTGTACCTCAACCTCAGTATGGCTATTCATTCCTACCCTTTGCACCAAACGCTAATCGCTAGTATATGATACTACACATAATGGAGTGTGACTGTGCTGGTTGCCTGGTGGACAGCTGTTATTCTCCATTTCTTACGCCGGTTTTCAATCATGACACGACACGCGCGTGATCATTGACAAAACAGGTTTCGTTGGAATCCAATAGTTTCTGTGACATACATGGAATGTTACCAAGTCACTTCGGTGCTGCGACAGATTCTAAGAATAGCTTGTCGAGTATTATACGAACGGAATGTGTTATTTTTACTAAAAGCTAGAATAATTCAATTAAGCAAAGATCTACTGCGAACTATGAAAATCATCTGCGTAAAGTAATGTAGAAGTTTGTTTGTCTGAGTTTCGCCTTTGTCTTCGGGTTTTAGAACAATTTTCGGTGAATTTGCGTTGATTTGACCCCCTCCGACGACCATGATCCTTTGCGTTGAAACAATAGATTGTTTTGATGTGACGTCATAGTAAAATAGGGCAATTGAAAATCCCTCAGTAAACTCACACAATAATTTTCTCAAGAATTTTAAATTATTAATGTGAATTTAATTCAAAGTAGTTTGAAAGTTTTTATTTTTACATTTCGAAATTCGCTTCGAATTCGTTTCAAACAGCTATATATTCATTCAGAAAGCCATCTACAGCAATGATAGAAAAGGAATCTGCAGCTGAATTATTTCCCCCGGTGCCTGCAGTGACGATGGGTTTATCATCTCGTCCCCAGATCCTGCGTTGTGCTGACCAGGAGAAGCGCAGGCTCTAGGAACGAGAATGTACAACGAACAGGTTTTACCTGAATAGACTACTCATTTCACACCATGTGTCATTCTCTAGAGTATCATTTCTTTGTTTAATGCACAAGCATTCAATATGGATACAATTCAAAACAAAGAAACTTATTCTCAAGAGCATGACACGTGATCTGGAATGCGAAAATATTGAGCCAAGATGGATAAGGTCTAAAGACGTTTGCACCATCGCGTGCCCACGCCCAGAATGCAGTTTAGGCTGCATGTGGTTAAATGGCAGAACAATAAAATCCCTTTGCTCTTGAGAATAGAATTCTTTCTCGTGTAAAACGATGGTATTATTCCTGCCATCTAACATGGCTGCCGTCATGTGATGGTGCAACACCTCTTTTGCTTTATATCCTCGTAGATAATAATCCCCTCAACAGTTCCCCTCTTTTGCTTTATATCCTCGTAGATAATAATCCCCTCAACAGTTCCCGGCGCCATCTTGAAAAGTAGCCGTGTCTTTGCATCGAAGCGAGACGAACGGTGAGCTTGCAATGATAGAGACCTTTTTTAACACCTTGGACAATTATTCACGTCTAAGGGGACTATTATAGTAATCCTAGAGCAGTTGAGTCACCAGATATTAATCATATAGCCCGATTTCTTTCTCGATTTGTAATAAATACTTGGCATCAAGCGGCAAAGGATTGTAGAAACTCTCCACCAAATTCTCACACTGCCAGAAAAAAGTAAATAATTCAAAAATTAGACATTACAGTGTATATCAAGGAAAAAATTTATTTTCAAAAACACTTATATGCGAACAGTGTAGTAGTATGGTTGCACTGTCTTCTGTTTTCAGAAATACAAACATTTGAAATATCAAAATGCAAATGAGATGACGTAATTTCCAGAATGCGTTACATTTTGCAGTGTAATGTACGACAAGTGTTCTGAAGTGAAATAACCTAAAAGTGTACAAAGCCATATATTTCAGTTTTAAGGATGATTTGCAAACGAAAAAACAGCAGTACTTTCCACAACAGCATTTTTGTATAATAAATTAGTCTTGAATTTACGCCATCTCATTTGCATATTGACATTTCTTTCTTACACTTGAACATTCCTAAATACCTAGTTGCCATAGCAACAAACAGAAATTCAAAAATCATCTTACCCCACAAGAGTCATTTCTTTGTTGCTTGGTAACTGGAGTCATATTAGATTTTAACTTGAACCTGTGACGCGGAAATGACGTCACGTCCCAGGGTCTTTTTCTTTGCTTTGTATCGAGTCTAAACAAGTGACCTTCGGTACTAAAAATGTAGTTGGAAGCGTCTTGGTTGACATGATTTTCATGGTCAAATAGCTGTCAATGAAAATGAATATGGGCCATATATATATATATATTTATATCAGTGATCTAGATGAGAATAGTTTGTTGTGAAATTTGATCGTCCGGGTGAGTGTAGTCTTGAGAAAAACTGTCGTTGGTGGTGACTGACGTTTCATCTTCAGAGTCCATTTTTCTCACTGGACTCTTTTCGTTTTCTCACTAGACTCTGAAAGATAACTTCCGCTCAGGTTGTCGAAACGTCAGTCACCACCAACAACAGTCTTTCTCAAGACTACACTCACCCGGACAATCACATTTCACACACAACTTCAACACCTGGGTTGAAAAAAAACCATTTACTCTTATATGACATCAATATTTGTGACGTGAGCACAACAAACTTTGATTATAATAATACTTATGATTCATAACGCGCAAATTAACGTTTTGAATATGATAAAATGCATGATTAAACGACTTGCACGCGTGCCCCGAGCAATGCGAGCACTGTTTCGTGGGAGATTCCGCTGGATAATATGACTGAGGGAAGCACAAACAACGCGTGCACTAGTACTATCGTTTCTCCTCTGACATCTATGATTCAATGCAAAGTATTAAGTCTGAAAGGAAGCGAAAACCTACACAGGTTTTTTACGTGTTGTCTTACCAGGTATAAGTATTTACATGTCTCACTAAGGAAAAAGCTCTCCATCCGATCTTCTTGTGATTTATCGATCACGTTGTGCAGGGTAGCATAGCCACATCTGTATGTTAGAGTTTAAACACTGATTAGCACTGTTAGACTAAGGTTAAACGTCGAACTTCACATGAGCCGAACCTAATGACATCAGGAAGACCGCCTTGTTATCCATTGTTTCATGGAGCCTTCTCAAAAGTATCATGGATGTGAGGCTAACATGGAAAAACAAAAAAATCACAGTTTTCTCGATGGAATTTGTGGTGTTTTTTTGCATTTTCATGTAAGCCTCGTATCCAAGATTTTAAGGTTCCATTAGGTTCGGCCCATGTGCATTTCGTCGTTTGACCTGAGCTTGGTCTCTATAAAGCACTACAGACTGGTGCCGAGGACACATAGAATCGATATGATCTTCCACATAATATACCTTTCCCGAACTCGCTTGGGTGACCACGAAACAATAGTCCTAAGTCGATGTTGGACTCGATAAGTGTATATATATTTACAGTATTTATTGTATCAAGTTCAACCTCGACTTGGAACTGCTGTTTCATGGTCACTCAAGCGAGCTCGGGAAAGGTCCATACCGGGCAACGAGCCTTATCATACACTAAAATATATATGCATGATTTTCACCCATGGCTTTTGGAAGGAAATGCCTGTGTTAGAGTGACTCATCGACTGCCGTATCACGTATAACAAGCCACTTCACAGGAGCGTAGCCAGGCCCCCCTCCCAGGCAAAATCCTGGCTACGCCACTGCTTCACGAGTTAGCGTTTTCTCATAATTAGACCACGTGTCAGTCCCTGGATTATTAAAACTTTGTTAAGCCGTAGTATCATGAAGATTAACATCGTGTACAAGTGAGATGAGGCGATAAGCCGTGTGGGAATGGCACGGCTTACCACCTCATGTCTGATGTACTATTTTTTCGTGGGATTCTACCAGCTCACTAGATACACCGTGCTGACGAGGCACAATACAGGCCGAAACAGCTGTCCACGGTTTCTAGTTGAGCTGGCTCATTTTTTACGCAACTTGAAGTTGTGAAAGGCTTGTATGCCCTCTTCTTCATTCGTTTCATACAAGGCTCGTAATTTACCTATTACGCATTTTCTTAAATTATACAGGTCATTACTCACTCTGCTTTGGTGTTAGTCTCTAAATCTTTCAGAATATCGCGTCCAACATGAAGATAAAAAGGGTGCTGTGTTGCCTGAAAGAATACAATTGAAACACTTGTGTGTCGAAGCACCAGACAATCCCTGAAACAACCCCTGTATGTCAAACAACCACTTGTATGTCAAGCACCAGACCATCCCTGAAACAACCTCAGGGATGATCAAATTCATGGTAGGACGACAATTTCATGACACTTCAAATTGGTATTTAGCGTGTACGTTTAGACTAAGGTATTCCATTTGCATGTATTAACAGAACTATTGAATCGGTTGGATGAACTATGTTACAGCAAGAGTACTTCACATATTCTCTTGGTTATACATCTATTTCAAAAAAGGTTGAATACTGAATACTGCATACTGAATAGTTCATTCCAAGACCAAAGGGCATTTGCGAGTTTTGCTTGAAATCAAGCGGGATCCCTGTGGTGTGTACACGGATGGACGGACGGACGAAAGTGACGTAATCAAGCAATAAAAAAAACTCGATGGGTTACCAATTTTTCTTAAGAATGGTGTTCCTATCCGCTCGCCCGTGCCTATTATTCTTCTAATTATTTCACGGTCAGACAAAAATCTCTCTATAATACACCAAATTGCAACAAGATTTTCATGACAGTTTACACTAACCGACTAGATAAGAGATTCACTGCATAATTTTACCTGATAAAGGAGATAGGTTGCCTCAGCTAGTTCAGGTCTGAGTGGATAAAACGACACATCGGGGTTTTTAGTATGCCAGTTGAACCTCTCGGGTAACGCCTGGTATTTACGCCAGATATAATAGAAAACTGCATGCGTACAGATAGCTTCTCCTATGTCACCTTTGAGAACCTGAACAAATTGATACAAAACTGTTAGAATTCTTCGATTGCACGTTACGTCATCGCGGCCATGTTGGTGCCATTTAACACTGAAAATATTTCTCATTAGCATCCATCGTTAACGGCACCAAAATGGCAGCCATGCTTTTGTCTTTTTGACTCTCTTGGGAATGTTTGCAACCCATTAATATTTCCTCCAAAAGAACACATTCTCTATTTGAACTAAAACTCTCTTCATAAAATACCTGTTATGAATCTCGCGTTTTGATTGGATGCGAGCGCGTGCTTTATGAGAGCACACAGCACACGCGCACTTTCTATTTTGTAATTCGTATCCAAAATAACGGTTACTCTAAGTCGTATTTTTGAAGAGAAAAAAAACTTGCTTGCTGTGCTGTGTGTAGTCATAAAGCAATTTGGGATTAGCAGAACACTTGAGAATTGTTGAGAAGCACGACGCGTACTTCTCTCGYGTTCTGCCAATCTCCGCGTGCTTTATGACTACACACAGAACGCCCGCGCGCTTTCTATTTCTTCAATATCCAACCTATGAGCTCTCTCTACTATTCTCTAGCCCAGTACCAACCTGAACTCCAGCAAATGCAGCATGTAGCGAATCAATCCAGGAATTCTCTATTTTTGCCGTTTGAAAATTTACGTTTACGTATAGAGGAGTGTCACCGGAACCTTCGTGGCATTTTAATCGTCTGAAGCATTGAAAAGTAAACAAAAAACTATGAATGATAGCCATGATGTAACAATGAGGACACCATGTAGGAAATAGCCATTCCGAATTGCATTCAGTAATTGTGGGACTGTTTTAGGGGACCAGCATAGACGAAATCTTGGAAATATGCCCCATAAAACTGTCCTACGATGCACAGCTATTGCAACTCGACTCTGTTATTCTTTAGCCTCGGAAAGGCTAATAATAGAGGAACATGGGATAAAAGATAGTGACGTAACTAGTACTGTTGTATAGAGGAATGGAAAAACAACGCATTGGGCCCGTTGTAAGAAGGGTGGATAGCCCTATCAGGGCCCGGTTGTACGAAGGCTGGATAGCGCTATCCGGCAGATAAATCCTTATCCAGTGGATAAAGTGATGCTGTTGTCCAATAAATTCATCCACTGGATAAGATTTATCTGTGGGATAGCGCTATCCAGGCTTCGTACAACTGGGCCCAGACGGATAAATCTTATTTATTGGATAACAGCATCGATTTATCCACTGGATCCACTGGATTTATCCGTTGTATAGCGCTATCCACCCTTCGTACAACCGGGCCCTGGTGAATAAAATGTATTAAAAATATGGATAAATAAGTTGGGAGAATTACAATACAGCTATATACAACGTCAGTGTTTCCTAAGCTAGTAGCTGAAGAGCTGAAGGTGCGCACAAAGTAGCTTACCCTTTTCGTAGATGATGACGTATTGTTTTGTACAAATCATTGAAACGCTTAAGATCTTCTGGGTTTCCAAACATGATATAGCCCTGTTGACAAGACGGAACGCGTAGGAAGATATCATCGAGAGTTAACGAACGAACGAACAAACAAACAAACAAACAAATAAAAAATTACATAAATACATAGATAGATGAATGAGTGAGTGAGTGAGTGAGTGAGTGAGTGAGTGAGTGAGTGAGTGAGTGAGTGAGTGAGTGAGTGAATGAATGAATGAATAGGATATTGTATTATTTGACGCCAGTGCATTTTTTATATATCTTATTTCGTTTTTCTTGCTTTCTTTCGTTTTGTTGTTGTCGTTGTTGTTGTTTTTTCTTTGTATCATTTTCTTTGTTTTCTTCGTTTGCTTTTACCCAAATGAAAAACTTAAAATCATGAGATTTTCATTTGATAAGCATGATTATCAGCGTCAGCAATTTTTTTTCGTATAGGTAAAGAAATATACCTTGAGAAGATATTCATAGAAAGAGTCTAATCCTGCACCTACTCCACTCATCGTACCCTTCCATTGACCAGTCTTTATGTCTATAACATTACCTGAAACAAAACATTTCAAATGCCTTCAGTATATAACAACATAATATGGCAACAACAGCAACAACAACGATGATGACGATAATGATGATGGTAATTTTCCAACTTTATTTAAAGAGCGTAAGACATGACAGTTGCCAACTTAGTACCGATAAACTTGTGACCCTCTATGTTTAACATCTCTAAATGAGACAGGGCTACAATATTACGTGGTCATCTGGGCCATGTTGAAAATCTAACCATTTGCAGGTAATTTTAGTGCAAAGGCAGCACCTTCTACTCAGATATTTTAAGACCCTGAGTGTTGCTCCGGCCGTAGAGGCTTGAACCCACAATCTCATGCACAACAGACTGGTGCCCAAACAACAGAGCTAACCAGAAGGCAGTTAAACAATATGACTTACAATAATTTCTTTTAATATAAATACTAATCTATGATTCAATAATTTCGTCTTTTTCTCATACTTCCATCTCCTTTTTTTCTCTCAATTCCTTTGGCTTCGTTTTCCCCAAGGGGGCTTGAATGATTCAATAATTTCATCTTTTTCTCATACTTCCATCTCACTTTTTTCTCTCAATACATTGAGCTCTATTATGAGGGTCATTTCACAAGGTGCATACATCTTAATTCCTTTGGCTTTGTTTCCCCCAAGGGGGCTTGAATGATTCAATAATTTCATCTTTTTCTCATACTTCCATCTCATTTTTTTCTCTCAATACATTGAGCTATATTATGAGGGTCATTTCACAAGGTGCATACATCTTAATCTCTTTGGCTTTGTTTCCCCCAAGGGGGTTTGAATGCTGGAATAAAATGTAGATACCAAGATATCTAGCCCCCTCCCATTCCTACAAACACACATTCATACAAAAAAAGTGCTTTTCAATTAAATTCACATGGAGTCCAAAACACTTTGGCAACTAATCAAGTGTATGCCTCCCCCTCCCCTTCCCCCTCCCTAACCCTCCACCCCACCACATCCCTACAAAAACACAAGCAATGTGGACATTCCTCCTTTGGTGCATAAAGATGAACTATTTGCATAAAACATGAGCAGTGCATGAAATTGAATTATTTACCAAGTAATCCAGTCATATTAGATCTGTGATACCACACTTCAGACACAGCCCTACGAGCCAAATTCTCAAAAGTTGGATCATTCAAAAGGCGGCTTAGAATTCCAAACTCTATGATGAGGGTGCCGGCCCCGGCTAAACATGTGTCTGTCCAACTCTCCACTGGCAAACCTGTTTGTAAATTAACCTGAGAAGAGGGATCAAACAAATGAAATATATTATAAATCATATTAGTTACAGTGTCACACATTAGAAAATTTTGGTGCACTTCTGGTCACTTCATGCTAAAGAATCCAGGATAAAGAATATGGCACAGCCTCCTCTGCAGAAATCTCCTTGGCTCTTTTTTGCTCCTTAGACTCCCTCTCTCTCGTTCCTAGTTCTTCTCTGCCATAAAATGTAACACAGGGATCCCAACAGAGGATATATGGGGTAGCCATCTGAGGAGGCTAGATATGACACAGCATGGAAGTGTCTATTCCTACCCCATGCTTACCTCCAACCGATTATTAATCAATGGCCAATTAGTGTAGGTACTAGGATTACATGCTGTCCAATTTGGAAATAATTGCATGAAAAAAATTCTGAGGACTGACAAAATTGGAAGAGGTTGATAGGCCGAGTCAAATTTGGCAGTCAGAGGAATGTTTTGACATGTAGTCCTATTGCAGATTAATTATGTCATCCCTAACTATAGTAGACTGATTCCATAAGTCATAGTTCTCCCTCAGAAGAATATGAATGGAAACGATCCAAAATCATCTTTAGTTTGGACAGGAAAGAGAATTTGAAAATAATACAATAGTTCCTTATATGGGATTATAGAGTGATGATACAATTAATACTACAATTAAAGGTGCATTAGCCTTACCCTTGGATAAGGGATTCCTGAAGGAGATCTTTCAAATGCTTCTATGAGTCTATTGGCCAGATCATGTGCTAATGTCAGAAGATCATCTTCATAGTCCTTAGGAACCATGTCACCAAATGGCTGAAGAGGATCCTTTATGATCAAATGAGCTGATAATAGAGCACCTAACACTCTGATAGAAAACACATATATACTCATTTATATATTAATCATTATATAGCTTATGTTATATGTGTCCGCTCTAAGCTGTCGATAACTGTGCTTACTTAGTGAACAGATCACTCATGCCATCATTTGGAAATGCTGAAAGGACTCAAAAAGTGTAAACAGCACCATAGCTTGCCTATAATTTGCAGTGTTTGATCCAGAACGATTTTAAGGGGTCCTCTCTTAGGTTTTACCTTATCATTCATTCTTATTATTTTTTAACAACTTCAAGGTGGGTGACTATAGTCACCCAGTTGACCTCCCTGAATCGCTCTTGAATTGTGCTTCTCTTCACACTTCTTTCATGCTTACAACACTTCCTGTGTGCTTATTTGTTAAATGGCTGTTTGCTCTGGCACCCTGGGGGAAATATCTGAATCTGCAAGCTCCAACTACAGTACACTGTACATATGTGTAAGGACTGGTAACGAGTGTACAGTGCACATGCGAGAGAGAGAGAGAGAGCACATGGCCAAGATGGCAGCTTTGTAGTAGTTGTTGTTATAAGTAATAAAACTTATTTGAAGTCTTACATATATAACAATATCAGAGTGCATAATATATCATTGTATGGTCATGCATGGCACAAATAAGTGTAAAAAATATTTTTCAAGTCATATGATCAGACAAGAATTTTTGACATTTAATGATTCTGACTTCAACTACACTATGCTTTATACAGGACTAATGACATTTTGTCTGAATGTTATCATACCTTATAGTAACTTCAAAAACTTGAACCGTACTGTTTCTATCAAATGATACATGGTGTATTACATTTTGTACAGCACGTTTAAATTCACTGCTGTTACCCATAATCTAAAACAAAAACAAAAACATCCAAATATTATCATATTTGTATAAATCAAGGAGTATAAGAAACAGAATGGCTGATTTTTCTGTGTCTATATTTTCACAGCAACAGCGCAGCACAGATGTGAAGTCATAAAAATGAAGACAAAGGCGAAATTCGGACAAACAAACTTACGAGTTTACTTTCAGCAGATAATTTTCACAGCCGATCGCAGTTGATCTTAGTTTACATGGGTTATTATTGTTACTTTAAGTAAAAATAATAAAATCGGTTCGTATAATCCTCGTAGCGGTTAAACAGAATGCAATGTTTGTCCGAATCTTTAAGCTATTTTTAGAATCAGTGCGCTGCGCTATTAAGTATTGAGTTAGAGCATACACCTATTTCAAAAAACGTTGTCATCACCAAAGGCAATAGGCAAAAATCAATAACATGTATGTCATTCCAACATCCAAGAATAGCTGGAATGACTTGTGCTTCGATCTTATTCTTATTCTCATCAACCTTCATGCTGAGACTGATTCGATGTCTGTGTATTTAACGAAACCATTTCCATGTCAGAATGACCTATTGACTATCGCCTTTGGCGATGACAACATTTTTTGAGTTAGGTGTATACCAGAAGTTCAGATTAATAAGAGCAAAATTTCTTGTCGTATTTAGAAGTATTATTTTTTCCTTATTCTTGGGAGCTTCTACCCTGAAGTCCAGAGGTTATGTATTCTCACTTTTATTTATTTATTCTAGAAGCCAAATAGAACCTCTGGAGGTCAGGGTAGGGTGCCTTACATTTATATGTTACAGTACATTACTCAGAGTGATTTAAGGCACCAATAGTTACATTATAACTAACTTACTGCAAGAGTTCCTAATGATTCCACTAGAGTAAGAGAATAATTCCCTAGAACATCATTAATATTGATATTTGACCTAAAACAATGACAATAACATCATAGATTAAAGTAATGTGCTATTAACATCACTGGGGGGAGGGGTGATGTGTTTTTAACATCACTGGGGGGAGGGGTCGTGATAGTAACATCACTGGGRGGGAGGGGTGATGTGTTTTTAACATCACTGGGGGAGGGGTCATGTGATAGTAACATCACTGGGGGGGGGTCATGTGCTATTAACATCACTGGGGGGAGGAGTGATGTGCTACTAACATCACAGGGGGAGGGGTGATGTGCTATTAATATATCTGGGCGAGGGGTCACATACTATTAACAACACTGGGGGGAGGGGTCATGTGCTATTAACATCACTTGGGGATGGGTGTACTATTAACATCACTGGGGGATGGATGTGCTATAACATCACTGGGGGGAGGGGTGATGTGCTATAAACATCACTGAGGGGTGGTGGTGTACACTACATAGCTATATACAGGGCTGTCAACCCCCGAGATATTCAAATCTGGAGAATTGATAGGGAAGGGAAATGACGTCACAGCGCGTCAAAAAGCGCGCGAAAAGACGTCTTTCGCTTTGTAACATTTGATATGATTGGTTTATTTCTGACCAATCAGATTATCGCTTATATTGCAATGGCCTGCTTGCAAGAACAGTTTATGAGGAACGTTTTGATTTTGTTAGCGATGTAAAATAACACAAACAACACAAAATAATTGGAATTTTAATTATGGTTGTGAAAGTTGAGTCTCACAAGAAATGGTCAGCTTCGGCGATTATCCGGGAGAATTGAGACTCTAATCTGGAGACCGGGAGATACGGTCCAAAATCTGGAGACTCCCGGTTTATCCGGGAGAGTTGACAGCCCTGATATTATATATAGCAAGTAATAACAATACTAAGTGATATATATATAACAAAAAGAACGATTTAGTATAAGGAAATATAAAAACTAGTAAAATGGAAGTAGATAATGTATTTTTTTATTTCAAGTATTCAAGTTTTTATGTTTCATTGTGTCAATTTGCATAAATATGTAGTCAACAGATCCTGTACAAACACGTTATTACCTCCTATGAAAAGGACCAGTATTATATATATATATATGTATACTTACGGGTTAAGATGATCTGGTCCTCGTCCCGTACAGTGTATAGGATCTAATTCATCTAAAGGGAATGCGTATCTCATGTAGTTATCATATCCGTAGTAAAACATTCTACGAGCATGTTCCCGAGATTTAGTTCGCTCCGATTCACTAAAATACTGATATTTTCTCTCAAGAGTCTCCTCATTTTCTTCATTACTCTTAACCTGGGGTACTAGATCTTTTACAAATAATATAAAATATAATAAATAACATCGAGAACTGAACAACATATTTGTTTGGCTGTGTTCGAATCATACTGTTATTATTGACGTAATTTGTGGGGTCTGGCACGAGGTCTATTTCTATTGTTCTTCGGCCAATCAGAGCATGGCTCGTGTAACATTAATAATAACCCTATTATATTTTGTCTTTTATTCACGACATATATTCGATATATAACAGCGTGATTTTTTCTGATTTTTTTCTTCAATTTTTGTATACAAATTGATGCTATAGAGCGTTTTCACGTGACGTCACAGCGGCCATTATGGGGTACCAAAACAATACATTTTCTATCCTCCGGGAATCGTACTCTATTTTTATGCAAATACTGTGCAGAAAGTTTCTATTGTTTATGGCTGCCTTCTCACGTGAGTGAAAACGCTCTGTCATATCTATTTCCATCCTTTCAAATTTGAACTGAAAATTGGTATTTATTCATGTTTTCAGAATGTTTATTTTTCTAAAGAGTAGAGGGGTTAATCCAGCCAGCGAGCGTTCACCGCAAACAATAGATACCGCTCATATAGGGGGAGGGGTGGTGCAAACCCTCCCATTTTCTGCCCCTAAAACCTAAAACTCCCCGTATTTCATCCTCATCCCCACCCAAATCCCTGGTTAGATAGAGTGCAAACAATAAATCCGTGAAACACTAATTACTAAATAGTACAAAAGAGTGCTAATTAAACAATAGAAAACAATGGAATTTGCATGAAATTGTGCTATTTGGTATTGCTAAAGTTTCACGGTTATATTGTTTGCACTCTAATCAACAATTCCTTATAAATTCTTGTTAAGGATATTCCTTTTTCGAAAGAAATATTTTTAGTGCCTGCCCCACCAAAAGCAAGCTTGTTATAAAGACCCATTCGTTGGAGTACAAACCATATATCCATGAAATAGCATAAAAACTAAGCACATTTATTTCTCGTTTTCAATTGTTTCATTGGTGCTAGAGTGCACGCACTAAACCCGTGAAACAAATACTAACTTTTAGTACTAAATGGTAATAAATAAACAATAGAAAACAAAGGATTTTGTATGAAATAATACTAATTAGTACTAATTAATGTTCACGGATTTAGTGCGTGCACTCTATCATCTTACTAATAATTATTAACTATTTATTAGTTAGGACTATTTCAAAGATATATATTTTACACTCTACTGCATGTTTTTACTGCATGCTTTTATGATTCAGATGTCTGGGTCTTAATCACACACCCTACCCTAGCCCGAGTATCAGGCCTTCTGGGGCTCTTGGGGGGGGTTGGGGCTTGGGCTTTCCAAGACGTCTAACCCTACCCTTATTCTCTGAAAAAATTGGAGTTGGACTGGTCAGTTCAACTTAATGGTAAGCGGCTTGAGACTCCAGAGGTGAGATCATGGGTAGATCCAGGGGAAGGGTTACTGGAATTTTCTTAAACATGTGAACTCTGTGTCTGTGAGCTGTGTGCTGAAATTTAGTTTTTCGCTGCTGTCAATCAAACCTAATCAGTCGGTACCTTTCATATTTTTGACTGATCTCAGCAAAAAAACTAATTTCAGCGTGCAACACGCAGACACAGAATTCACATGTTCATGAAAATTGCAGTAATGCTTTTGCAATAGAGAGTATTTCTTTGTGTGTTGTTTTAAGAAAATGTATTTTTGAGAACAGAATTCTATAACAAATAAGACAAGTTTATTTTTACTTTACATGTTTGTTAATATTTGAAGGAAAAGGAAAAACGTAAACCAAAGCATACTACAAGTGTACAGTAAGAGACATTTAATATCAACCACAGCTACATCAAAGTCCCAGTTTAAACACTGAATTTCACATGCCAAATCTAATGCAAATGAATTCAAGCAATGATGTATGTTTTGCTCATTTGCATGATTTAGGGTTGGCACATGTGACATTCTATATTTAAACTGGACCTTAAATCACAGACAATTCACACAGTGGTAAAATACTTCCATAAGGGGATTGAAATAAGGGGCTCTCTGACTCCTGGCACTTCTTCTTGGAAGAACGTTTTGTAGACTGTTGTCTGGCTTTAATAGATCTAATTCCTCTTGATGTAATGTTTTGCCATTTCAGACCATGTGTCATTCTCTTGAGAATAAGATTATTCGTTTAAGTTGCATCCATATTCATGTGTCTTCTCATGCACGACAGTTAAATAAAGAAATGATACTCAAGGAAATGTCACTAATGGTCTGAAATGGGATATATCATATAGGACAGATAAATTACCTCTGGGTAGATCAATGGTAAAACCCCTACAATATTTTTCACAAGGAATAATGCATAAAAACAGATCCCTTGCTAAACCTATCTATCCCTTAAGAAAGTTGCATCCCTGTTTATTCCAAGTCCACAATAGTGTGGTATGGATAATAGTGTAGGAATCTTCTAGCGACAGTAGCTACAGAGATAAAGGAACACAAGATACACTTTGATTCTAGATATTAATGACTCGACTGAGTTTTTGGATGCGGTTTAGAAGCAGATCTCCCTGTTTGATTGAAGCCTGGTACTGCCAGTTCTTGTAGTCTGGTCTGAAGAAAAACAAACAAAAATACAATTAATTTAACCAATACACTCAAGGAAATGGCTTGAAATGGTTTTTCAAGAGTGCGCGCACACCGTAGGGCCAATGATGTAGGCATTGTCATTGAACTTGCAAAAGGAAAATTTTGTCCTCAAAAATTTTAATATTCAAACTGAAAAAAATAAATAACTGTATGGAGAAATTTCTTCAAATTTTGCATATGGCTTTGCTTTATGTTTTCGAAAACTCAAGGGAAAATTTTTAAAGTTCTGTAAGTGGGATCTATTTCATACAAATTTTATTGATTTTTACAAATTCCCTCTCACAAAATTTTTTCTTTTTTTCGTCAAATAGAAGATCATGATACAAAGTTTAAAATAATATTCTGGTTTTTGAAAAATTCCACGGTAAATGAACATTTTTGATGGTATAACAAGGGTTCTGATGTTGTCATAGTAACATTGTACGCCATTTTTTCATGTTCACATTAATAGAACAGCAATAGAGAACAGTGATATTGAAGGTATAACATGGAAAGGTAAAGGTTGAGGCATCCCTGTAGATAAGGTGACTAAGAGTACTACTACTACCCCCCCACAGTATGGAATGCTAGTCCATCAAATTACCCCCAACATACACTCAACACTTTGTCAGACCCATTCATACATGAATAATTATTAAATAACCCTGTACTCTTAGGTACGTAAAGGTTGAGTCATCCCTATGGATAAGGTGACTAAAAGTACTACTACTACCCCCCCCCCCCACAGTATGGAATGCTAGTCCATCAAATTACCCCCAACATACACTTAACACTTTATCAGACCCATTCATACATTAATAATAATTATTAAATATTCCTGTATTCTTACATACCTATTGGTCTCGACAATACCACGAACTTTGTCAATTTTACAATGAAGCCTACCAGTAGCAATGAATCTAGATAGTTCCCTATAGGAGAGAGAGAGAGAGATAATGAATATGGTCACAAACTATTAGCCACTCGATAGTTCACAACAATCAATTCTTAAATTCCAATTTGATCATGGAATGAGGGCCACAGGTTCATTAGCCACTGGCTATTAAGTGCAACCCTCGTATAACAAGGACAATATTTAACATCATAAAATAACTGTTATTAATCTCCCATTCTGATTGGTTTGAAGCATGTGCTTTATGAGAGCACACAGCACGCGCGCACACTTTCAGTTGCATAATTCCTATCTAAAATAACGGTTATTGTAATTCATATTTAATAAAAGAGATTAAAAACTTGCTTGCTGTGCTGTGTGCAGTTATAAAGCACTTATGGATTGGCATAACACTTGAGAAGTGTCGAGAAGCACTCAGCTACATGTTGTGCTTTATAACTGCATACAGCACGCACGCGCATTTTCTATTTCTTCATGAGTACTTTATATGTATGATACCATGGGATTTTACTCACTTATCAATAAACGCTTCACTGACACCAAAGGCCTTAGCCATGTACTCTAGTGTTAGACTGCGATATGATTCCAACAGCTGTGTATAGGCTAGGATTCTCATTTCACGTACATAGTACCGGTAGTGTGAAGCCATTAACCTGTCTTGTTTTAGTAGTACTTCAACCTCAGCTGCAAAAAAATGAACCAACTTTGTCAATTTTGTACTATTCTATACATTGGATATACAACTATTTCTGATTTTCAAAAAACATTGTCATTGGGAAAGGCGATAGGCCATTCCGACATGGAAATGGTTTCATTAAACACAAAGAACATTGAATCAGACTCAACACTAAGGTCCATGTTCTTGACCAGAATAAGAAGCAGAAACACAAGTCATTCCAGCTATTCTTGGGTCTTGGAATGACCTCAGTATCTCATGTCGCTTTTCACCTATCGCTATTGCGTTGGCAATGACAATATTTTTTGAATTAGGTGCATAGAGTAACAGTTGAGATGAACATCACTAAATTTACATAAATCTATGCCATTAAATGAGTTCATTAAAAAATAGCAGAATTAATATTTAGGGCTTAAAATAAGCCTGGTCACTATAACCATTTAATAAAGTTTTAGCTTGGTCATATGTTGGCTCAATATTACTGTTCAAAATGACCAGCAAGTCAAAGATTTGGTAGGGCAAATTCTAACTCTGGCCTGTCATTGTCCAATAACTGGGCGTTATTTTACAGTGCTAATCGAAAAATCGTGGGCACCTAGAAATATTTCAAGAATGTTTGTCGACCAATAGAAAGCATTAGTGTTATCTTAATAATAATAACGTCCTTTTTCACGAGGGTAGCACTTAATAGCCAGTGGCTAACAAACCTGTGGCCCTCATTCCATGATCGAATTAGAATTTAGGAGTTTATTTTTGTGGAGGAAGGAAAACCAGAGAACCCGGAAAAACCTTCGAAGCACAGGATAGAACCAACAAACAACTCTACTCATATACAACACCAAACCCCGCAGGACCCGAACTCAGGTCACATTGATGAGAGGTGAGCGCTCACACTGCTATGCCACCCATGCTTCCTTTTTCATTATCTTGTGGTTAGACAGTCAATTCTGATTGGTCAAAGAACAATCGAACATTCCTGGAATATTTCTAGGTACCYACGGTTTTTTGATTCGTACTGTAAGCCCTGTTGTTACAAAATTAATCCCCATGGTGAGATGTACAGTAAGAACCAATTACCTAATTATTAGCTGGGTTATATTGGCCATGCTGGGTTTTAAAGGAATTATGTTTGACTCGTGGCGGCAAGCAGTCCAATTACACAAGAAACAAATCAGATACAAAAAATAATTGAAATCTTAGACATCTTTGTCCACTTAAAGGTTATGTATGTACCATCAAGGTTATGTATGCAACCAATCAGAATTCAGAATAATAGAGCGTTTTCACTCACATGACAAGGCAGCAAACTTGGTGTACCAAACAATAGAAAATTCTGCACAGTTTTTGCACAAAAACAGAGTACAATTCCCAGAGGATAGAAAATGTATTATTTTGGTACACCAACATGGCTGTGATGTCATATGAAAACACTCAAAAAAGTTCAAGTACTGGTATTTTATTCTCAGTGAGATTATTGTAATAGTCAGTGAGATGACATATACAGTAGAAACCATACCTAATGCTTTAAAGAACTGAGCGTAATGACAATTGTAGAAAGAGAGAAGAAATTCCTTGATAACAGGCAGTTGATGCAACACCTCTAGGATCTCTGCACCATTAACCACTTTCTTCTTCAAGTCAACCCTCTCTAGAGATATGACGCTTGCCAGTACTGTCAGCGTCACAAACTTCTTGTAATCCATTAGCTCATACGAGGTGAAGGTCGATATACTCTCAAGGAAGTTGTTAGCTGCAGCTTTGAAGTCACGTATGGATAGGTAATAAATACCATGATAGACTTTCAATCTGTTTCGTCTGTCCCAATCACCTCCTTCTTCTATTAACCTGGACAAAAAAAGATTTTGGAATTATTTCTCCTGTGTTTTAGCAATATTTTTGCTTATCATGTCAATTTTAGGCAATAACAGGGTTCGAAGTTTTTTCGAGATTTGGGATTTATTTTTTGAGTGTGTTTTTCAAAGAGTTGCAATTGCATGAGACCGTAAGTAGGTGGAGTTTTAGTCGTTTGATAGTAAAATCCATAAGATCTTTATTGCTTTCTTTTACCTAAGATAAGATGGCTGCCAATTTTTTCCCCTCGATTTGCTAAATTTCCCTTAGAATTACTGATAATAAACGATCCAAAATGTTATAGAGGAGGTTTACAGGCACCTTGAGATAAAGTGGGGATTGTGCTACCTCAAGGTAGAGAATCGACTTCTATTAAGTAGCGAATCAACTTCTATTAGTACCGAATGTGCAGTAGCGAAAGTGCAAGGTAGCGAAAAGACCGTAATTCAAATTTTTCGTCATATAAAAATTTGTCATCTGATTAGCTAAAATCATTTTCTATTGTTTACTATCCAATCAAAAGTGAGAATTCCATTTGTAAGTGGCACTGTGTTGTCACTTTTCTGCACTGTATTACAATTTTTGCACTGAATTACACCTTTTGCACTGTATTGCGTTTTAACAAATACAGTWGCATATAAAATCAAGTTTGTATATCAAGGCAACAAACATGTCGTAGTTATATTCAAAGTGCCTATAATGGCAAAAAACAATTGTGTCTAGAATTACTCTTCAATATAGGACTATATAGGTGGGAAAAATCTTGTTCATTACAAGTTATTTATTATTTTATGAATTTATATTTTGTTCCTTTTTTTTTTTTTACTTTTTTTTTCTGAAAATAATAAAATAAAATAAATACTTACTCTTGTGCTTTAGCAATATTTTTGGTAATCATGTCGTTATCCAGGTAAAACAGACCAATACGAATACGGTAGAATATAATATCAAGTTTGTATCCCATGGCAACAGCTTTGTCGTAACATTTTCTGAATGCTGTTAAAGCTCCTTCCTGAAAAACAAAAAAGGGAACTTGTAAAGCAATATGTTTTTGAAAATAAATATTAGAACTTATTATGCATTTAGGGTACCTTGTTATATTGAAGGACAAATTATCAATTAGACCAGCTCAGCCATACCTCATTTCTGGCTCAATGCTACAGGGCAAAATGACCGGCAAGGCAAACATTCAAAAAATTTGACTGGATAAGTTCCAATTCTGGCAGAATATTTTATTTCTTTAAGGTGCTAATCTTACAAATCACCAATAAACGATAATTGGTTCAAAAAAGAAACTTTTCCCGTCTGAATTCTACTTCCAAAAACTGTTAAAAGCTTGTCCGCCATTTCTATGAGCAGCGATTTTGTCGTTGCATTTTAATTTATGTGTGACGTCATACGCGCAACTGGCATCCTTTTTTTTTCCACACTGACTCTACAGCATTCTCTGTAAGATGGCATGACTTGGTTTAAGGCTTGTTTTTAAATCAAAAATATTTGAAATTTGGTTGCAATTACACATTGTGAAAAGTCGCGAATTTTGAAGGGTTGCGCGTATGACGTCACTTCCTTGGAATCGCTAAAAGTTGCCAGGAAAGCAATCGCTTAATGGCGGACTCAAACGGCCAAACTTTACCGGCTAAATACAACTTCTTCCCAGTCTGGTATCGAAAAAGAATTTGGACAGTAAGCTATATTACATATCTAGTTTTATATGGTACAATTTCCAGGGATGGTGTCATTTTTGTAAGACTAGCACTTATAGAAAATATTACATGGGCACGCGGAGATACGAATTTTATCTTCGAGTGTTGAAAAGATCTCTCACGAGTGAGCGCAGCGAAGCGCCCATGTAATATTCTGTTTATTATATAATTATCCATAAAATCAACTTAACAAGCTTTTTATTATCAAAAAAAGTTTTTATTTATAAACTAAACTATCAGTTTTTTGAAAAGGAGAAATATAGGTATTTTATGGATAATTATATGATAATAATATTCATTTATTTTCTGATCATTATTAACTGGTCATTATTTGCTATCCATTATTTTGAGCCCTGATTGTAGAATTTGTACTCAAGCTGTGTAGACTAAATGATATTTTTTGCTGCCAACGTATTGAACACTTTAATATCATCACTGAAAACCAAACACAGCACTGAATATCAAACTACCTTGTTTCCAATACTGCATAAATATTCTGCCTGTGCGAAGAGTTCATCCCTGACTTCTGTCTCCCCCAGATTCTCTTCTGCAAACTTCAGCTTTTCTTCCAGTTTTTTCATCTTTTCTTCATTAGCTTTTTTCATCTTTGCCAGTAATGTCTGGTCTAATGACCATTTCAGTTCACTGCAAAGTTCTTCATAAAATGGTGCCATATCTATTGTAACAAAAACCAAAAAAAAACAAAAGTTGGGAATCCAAATATAGTTTACATACAAAAATAATTGTATCAAATCTTAATGATGCCATTGAAAATACCTAGGTTATGATAACTGTATTGTGTGTGTGAGAGTAAACACGTCTTGCAACACAAACAAATACAGTACAATAGAAAAATGCCACACGTAGCTAACTGGTAGATACTTTTATGTCAAATTACTTGCACTGAATTGGCTTCCCTGTGCCCTTACCAATATATAACCTTCAACTAGAATTAGTATACTCGCTCTAACTGCTAAATCTAACTGGTAAGATGAGCTATCGAAGTAATCTTTTTCATCCAACTTCTAATTTGTTTAGTACTGTGTTATTTTGTTAAGTTTTGAAGTGAATTCAGTTATAAGTTGTCTGAACTTCAAGAGTTCACGAAAGACGACTTTAACTTCGATGGAGTCAACTAATTCAAATACAGCGTTAAAAGGTCTGTCTACTTATACAGCACTTTCTCTGTGGAGAATATAGTCCTCTAGGAAGAAAAGCTGGGCTTTTGCAGAATCCTTTCCAATGAAGTCATTGGGTCATAAAATAAATTAACCCCTTCTGGCTCATTAGAATATTGGCTGATAATGTCTTGGATGAGAAATTGTACTTAAAATATCACATACATGTACTGTATGCCCTCAAAGATTTGTTTCTTGGCCAATTTGTTCTTATTTCAGACCAGTTCAGACCAAAATATCCTATGTGTCACTTGTGTTTTTCTGTGTTCACACAAGCCTTTAGGCAAGTGTGTATATAAAGAAAATACGAGCAACCAATGGGATATCTCATCCTTTCTTCCCATCATGTGCCATGCCATGGGAAAGCATTGTATAACTATTTTATTACACACTTTAGAAAATAACTAAGAGTACAGTGCATGATCAGAAGATATAGTGGAATACTGACGAATATACAACAGCTTTCCTCCATTCTGATTGGCTATGGTTTCAATGCCATGGTATATAAAACGTGGTATACCACTTAACAAAACTATTCCAGTATAACTTAGACAGAGATAAATTAAAAAACAAAACAAATTAATTTAATTTAGCACTGATTTTAGTAAAATACAAAATTTTTTAAAATACAAAATTTACAACAGGTTTTGATCTGACTACAGTATGATAACAAATTTGTGAGGGGTTCAACCTAGAAATCTGCGTCAAAAGGTTTTAAATATCAAAGATAAACTTTAAGGTACTTAAATATACTGCTTAGATCCAGAACAGCCAATAAAGCTTCGCGTAGAGTAGAGTAATAGTGTAAAAAGCTCTTGCAATGATGGCAGCCATATTGGACAGCCGGCATCGTGACACAGCACTTCTTCTTACCTTTCTCTTTTACCGCGTCCATGATGTTTTTCTTTGCTTGTTCTTTGTTATTTCCATCAGGATTGGTTATAATAAACTTCCACTGTGCTATATTATGGTTAGGATTGTTAGGAAGGCCTTCTTCTTCGAGATTTTCGACAGGCATTTTGACAAAGACTTGCTTTTTTACTTTTCACAAAATTAGAAAATGACATGTAACCTCGCCTCGCTTATCGACACAGGGAGCCCATTCCAACACACAGGAATCCCAAACGAACCTAGTCTCAGATTTCCGGCGGTTAAGTGGAAATCTGTTTCTTTATATATTCTTACTTAAATCTTTATATTACGAGGATAACATGATTAACTTCTCATTTTCTAGCTTAGTGCCTTCAAGGTAGTCACTCTTTCTAAAATCGAACATTGCCACATTGATAACACTTGGATGAAAATCGATAAAAATTGGAAATGACTTGAATCTTGGTCAAAATCATTTATATGGCCCCATAATCGCCAAGCAACATATTTTCTTCACAGTCAAAAGTGGCAGATAAGGATTATCAGTTTTATTTTATCTAAATTGTGAGAAAATGACCTCATTTACTCAGCCCCAATTGATATTTTCTTTTTAAAACCAAAATTCCTCAACCGGCTGCAAGTGGCTCCCAGTCTAAAATATTAGCCAATCTGGTTTTCATAGTCATTTTGACTTTCAAAATTTTGGGCGTTTTTGGCCAAAAGCCCTTAAGAAAATTGAAAACCTTCTCTGGAAACGATGGGGTTCCTGAAATCACCGAAACCACTCGAACAGGTGCATGTGTCTCAGGTACTTCAACATCAACACGAATAACCATGTAAGTTTTGAGTAAATTGGGAAATAAAGGGAGTAAATGTTAGCTATACCAAACTATTCAAATCAAGATTGTTCCACGTATTGGTGTTTTTCAACATACAACAACGTACTGTAACCCATCCGACGCAGATATGTTTTATCATAAATGATCTGCTTTTATTTTCCAAGTAAAGCAAAACAAAACAAGGCAAATAGAATCTCATGCAAAACAAATTTATTGACACAACATACAATGATTCAAATAACAATGATACAAATCACTAATGATATGAGCTAATCGAATAAATAACTAGAATCCATAGTAAGGCGATATCTAATCACTTCTATCGTCTGTAATTCTATAAAAACCAAGGAACTTAGCGGCAGAAACATAACAATAATCATCATCACTCTCGCAGTCTGCTTTAGCACCACCATTAATGCGCAAGAAGGGAACCATGACGATACTGTCCAGGGTCAAAGATTCTTCCAGTGGGTCACTTGGTTTGTTGACAGGACTAACACTTGTCATACATGTCGTACTGGTCCTTAGATGGTTTGTCGTCGTAGTGACAGTAGTTTGACTGGCAGGTGAAGTGGTTGCTAGGGATCCTGTAAGCATGGCTGGTATGGCGTGACGGGCTGGATTGTTACTGTTAACTGTATCACGTCTACGAACTCCAGTGCGTTTCCTGAGGTATTCCTAGACAAAACACAGAAGGCATTCAACATTTAGACAAATGAACTTAACTCTAACAATGGATGTGTTGAATAAAGTTTCTCCCGTGGACTCACCTGAATTTGCTTTTTCTTTGCTTTCAAATCCACCGTCAGTTGTCGTTTGATCACTGCTCGAACTTCTGGATCGTATATTCTTCTCATATCTTGTCGTTGTTCGTCAGTGTAATACACTCGCATTCTCTTCCTTGGAGGACTTGCAAAACCTGCCAAATACATAGAATACATCGTAAGACACAATAGAATAACCCTAGTAACCCAATCATTGCTGGTCAACGTACCTTGATCAACACATGTGATCGTGTCTTGATCGTCATTCAGCCAAGGGCGCCAGAACGATGGTTCGTTTTTTATAGAAGTGTCCATAATCGAAAATATCTCAGTGTTGTGGATAGCAAGAGTAGTAGATGAGAACTGATTGCCATGGGACAAGGAAGAGAGGTTTATATACAATTACCTATGGAGAGGGGGGGTGTGGATACGTAGAACAATAGGTATTGTTAAAGTGTTAGTTAATTGTTAGTTTGATCGGTTGGCGTCGCGTCCTTGCGTTAATATTGTTTGTATTGTTTATTTGGATCGTTAACGAACAATGCAGTCAGTACGGTGTGAAGTTGTCATCATATTCTCTCAGATCGGTGGTTTGGGTAAGTTTGCGTTTCTTATCAAAGACAAGGGGTAAGTTTGGGTTTCTTATCAAAGACAGCAGGCCGTCGAGTGAAGGTGTTTTTTATAACATTCTTGTGAACAAGATATCTTGTTTTTCATGTTATCGGGTCCTCCAGTCGTTAACGGACCAGGAAGTTGACTTGCTGTAACGTAGTTTGAAAAGGTTTAGACCTGTTGTCTGTGCTTTGTCACAAATCATCTCTTGTCGGGCTTTACCGTAGGGCTTCCCTTCTCCATAAAAAAGTAACACGTAAGTTGAGTGTTGCATAAAAAAGTCAAAATCAATAACAAGAAATATAAAAAAAAGGTTCAAATCAGCTTCTAGCCGGCCCTTGGACAGCCAAACTTTGATATTGTTCAGTCTAATTGTTTCCTTATTGAGATCAAAAAATTGTTTTATTTTGTTACATGGAATTAATCAAATGATTTAATGCATGTTAAAAATACCATCCATTGTCGTGTAGAACAATATGATATGTGTGAACGCTGAGGGACGCCAAAAAAACTTGCCAAATGCTCACGTGTGAGTTAGTGCCACAAGTGAGAATTTGGCAATATTCTAAGTCCTATGATCTTAGCTTCAAGACTCAGAATTTTTTCTGAGTCTTTCAATTTGCAGCTGCATAAGTCGCTTCATATACTTCGAGGATCAGCTCGATTTGATAGATCTTAGCTTTTTATGTCACGTGTTCAGTAGTCTCGATAAGTTAGGATCTTTTTTCGTAATTCGCAACTTTTCAACAATTTCGTAACTACCCTTTTGTAGTTAGGATAGATGGTAGTTTCGATTGTAGAAATATAAAATATATGAAAATGGAGCCGAGAGCCACGCTCTTTAATACAGAGACTCCCTCTTAATTATTTAGACGTCCTTCTTTCTTGGAAATGAAGCGGAAGTGAGCTACACAGCTGAGGCTGGAGTCACTCGCCAAGAACGGCATGTACTTTTGGAGTCGAGACCCAGTACGCTCTTACAGAGACCCCCTCTTAGTTATTTAGACTTTCTTCTTGGAAATGAAGCGGAAGTGAGGCTGGAGTCACGCCAAGAACGGCATTTGTAAAGAAACTCCTTAAACTTAACATCAGAGTTGTCACACGAAAGATATTTTTAAAGGAAGTTTACAATTTTTCAAAATTTCAGCGAGGTCGTCGTCAACAAGCAGACAATTAAGGTATATTTGAATATTCGATCATAGGCAATCCATTCAATGGTAATGTTTCTACAGCTAGCGAGATGTTTTATGTGCTTCAAATTTTGGATCGAATTTTCAAGCGTCGTCAGAACTATTTTCTGCATTAGACTTTCCAAATTTATACACAGCCTGCATTAGTACTAGGTGATAAGATTTTGGAATTTTCAGAAAAGACGTACTTGAGGATGAGGAGAAAAAAGCCAAAAACTGAAAATAGCACTGTTTGATTTTTGGCCGTAATAGGCTAAACTTGCAGAAAAACCCGGGTAAACACTTTAAAAATCTTAAAATAAAATACACTGTTAGAATCTAGGATAATCCAAGCACATTATATGAAAAAATCCAGTTAAATTGAAGCACTAGTTTTGCGAAGCGAGTGAGGATAGATTCTTCCTGAATTCGCTTGAGTGAGAACGAAGTACCTCACTTTCGCTTTCAAAACTCTCATATTTGAGGTTTACAACGACGACGATTAGTAAAACAATCTTTATTCTATGAATTTTTGAGATTTGATGCTGATTTTTTGTAAGGCTCATCTGCAATACTTGGAAATAGATATGTGAAAACGTCAAGGCAATCCATTCAATGGTAATGTTCCTATACGTATAACGTGCGATGTTTTATATGCTTTAAATTTACCAGTATGAATACATTAAATACATTAATTAATATTGAATACATTAACTTTTTTAAAGCAGAATGAACCTGAAGCGAGATGACGTTTCACCCCCGTCTCTAGACCATAATCCTTTTCACATTGCTTTTGTTCGGGTGTTACTAAAACGAGTAACGCAGTAACGAGTAACGAGTAAACCGAGTAACCAGAAAACGAGTAACATGAAATATTTTATACATTTAAAAATCTGAAATAAATAGTAATGTATGATAAATAATCATAATTTGTATTCTCTGTTGTGTTTTAGTCTAGCTTTTGTACACAAATGCCGTCTGCAATTTGTACCTCACAACCTTTTATCTCAATTCAAACAGACAGGAAGCTATATAAAACTGACGGTTTCCACGAGTGGTTTACTCGTTACTCGTTACTGCGTTACTCGTTTTAGTAACACCCCTTTTGTTCTTTAATTATGACTATTGTTCCTGTATTCTCTAAGGAATCAAAAATTTTAATATGAAAGAATTTAAAAACCTATTATGGTATAGAGTCGGGGGTAAAACGTCATCTCGCTTCAGGCTTATTACAAACAAAATATTTTATGGAGGCAGCATGGTCGAGTGGTCATAGCGTTGGTCTCGCAATCCGGTGGTGTCGGGTTCGAGTCCCGCTGTGGCCATTAGCTGAGGCCCCGTCCACACTATGCCGAATAGTCCGTCCACACATGGTAACGGATAAAATTCGTAGTTTCGATAGTTTCGTAGTCCGATCAGAGGCGGCAAAAACGCTTTAATGCACATCTGAGCATGTGCATCGAAGCTGAAATTGAGCCCGCGGTGAATTTTTAGCGAGACTAACACTAATACGGCTAGCCGGCGATTTCAAACTGTTCCAAACTGTTGTTTGAAAAAAATCGTTTTCGGTGAAGAATTGTTCCGGATTCGCCCGGACTAGTGTGGACGGTAGGCCTAACCGAATAAATAAAAATTCAGATTCAAATTTATCCGGCATAGTGTGGACGGGACCTGAGACTGTATTTGTCCCGATTCCTGATTAGTTCAGATTCAGTTTCTCGACCATGCTTGTAAATAGCAAACTGGTTTGCCTCCTTGCCAGTTGGGATTCTTAAACTACTGGGCTTCCAGTAATGTATGTCACCCCACAGGTAGCCCAAGCTTGGTTTCTGTGTAGACTCTTCCACAGTCTCGCTTAGAGACTGTAACGGTACAATGACCGAAAGGACTTATGGGTCCCGAAAAGTTGGACCCACCGTGCTTCGGGAACCAAAATACTCGTCCACAGTCTCTCTCGTCTTCGCCGCCTTCTTGAAAATAACGGAAACGAAGGGGACATTTTTCTTTTAGATCATCCTCTCTATGGCTTTTTTTTCTTTCTTTTGATAATTCCTTTATTGTATTACTTATTCAGCCTTTGGCTGCATATGTACTTTATTTAATGAACGATTTATCTATCTATCTATCTATGTCTATATCTATGTCAGAGTTTAAAACAAAAAGAACGAAGAGTAATTTTATCAATACACTAGCTAGAGCATATAATTCAAATCAGTAGTATTGACTTCATTTCCATTATATAATTTTATTTATTATATATATATATAGATACATCTGAAGATAAAATTTAGCTTATTTATTATAGATATTTTTTAGTTATATATAATACATTTTTTCATGATTGTAAATATAGTTACGTAATTCAGCCTAAGGGCTG